CCTGAGTGCACACCGGGGTCGGGGCAAGTGTGCCTCCCTCTCAGCACCACCCAGGCCCGTGCCCCTCCCCAGCAGCCCACCCCGTTCCATGCCATCCTCGGGGTCCTCCCCCGCTGCCCTTCACACCTTCCCACCTGGGGACCAGGTGCAGGGTCTGCAGCAGTGGTTCTCAACCTTCTGGCCCTTTAAATACAGCTCCTCAGGTTGTGACCCAACCATAACATTATTTTCGTTGCTACTTCATCACTGTCATGTTGCTACTGTGATGAATCGTCATGTAAATATCTGATCTGCAGGATGGTCTTAGGCGACCCCTGTGAAAGGGTCGTTCGACTGCCAAAGGAGGGAAGGGCAGAGGCCCCCAGCTCTGAGGCCTGTGGTGTGGGGGTGCCTGGAGGCTCCTGCCCTGGGGGTGGGGCCTGGCCCGGAAGCCCCCTCCGCCAGGAGCTGCCCCCGCTGAGCCCCGAACTGTGTGCACAGCCTGGGCCTGTGTGTGTGAACTTGGACCCAACCCACCTGCTGGGGCCTCGGTTCCCTCACTAGGACGTGGCCCAGGACCACTCACCCCAGGCCCTGCCAGGACTCCAGCTTCTGCCCCCCGTCCCTCCCCGCCCCAGTGGTCACTGTGCGGCAGGGTCTGGCCACAGCAGCCCGGCAGTGGGAACTGTCCTCTGGGAGGGGCCGGGCGCAGCGGGCACAGGCCGCGTGAGCAGGCGCTACCTGAGGTGAAGAGCTTCGTCCTGGGGTTGTAGAAGGAGGAGAAGCTGGAGTACACCACGGGGACGATGGGCACCTGTGCGCAGGGAGACAAGCATCCTGAGAGGGGCCGATCCCCCCTTCCCCAAGGGCGAGCTCCCGGGGGGCCTGCTTTACCACCTCGCCTGGGGTTGCCCACAGCACCCATGGCTGCCAGGCACGCGCTCTGTCCCGCCTCAGCCCTGTCACACGCTGAACCCCAGGCCATAAACTCATTCTGTACGCCTTCGCCCACGTGTCGCCGCCTCCGGGAAGCCTTCCTAGGTTGGCACATGTCCACCTGATTCAGATCTGTGTCCCCCACTGGGTCCTAAGATTTCCTAGGGGGACAGGGCCCTGACCACCCTCCCCAACTTCCCCCCCATCCCAGGAAGGCGGGGGAGGGGGACAGCACCAGCAGGGGAGGGGGCAGGGCCAGCTGGTGCTCCTAGAAACCACCAGGATCAAGTCCACCGGTGCCTGCAGTGTCGGAAATGGCGGCTGGGCTAATCATTAACCCTGCGGTTGGGGAGCCCTCACCTCTCCCCGGGCACTGGGCACCGGCGGAGGTCTGGGGGGCAGGCTGGGAACCCAGGGAGCCACCATCTAGCAGGCCCCTGAGGGGAGGTGGCGGGCGATGACAGGAAATGATGCCCGTCCCCCTGGCCGAGCCTGTGGCTGCCCCTGTCCCAGCACCACCACCTCCTTTCCACAACCCCTCCCCCATGCCACCAGCTAAGGAAGTGACATCAGCCCCAGGCACCTGGCAGGGTGCCCTCCACCTCCCGGCTCGGGGGCCACAGCCCAGCGGGTGGGAGAGCCTCGCTTAGATGGAGCTGGAATCAGTCTAGGCTCGGCCCCCAGCCTGGGGCTCCGCCACCCACCTGCCAGTGTCTGCACCCCCATGGCATTAGCCGGCGGGAGCGGGGTTGGCAGGAAAGGGGGGCTGGCAGGAAAGGGGGTGGCTTTGCTCAGAGCCAGCACTAGGGGGCGCGAGAGGCCACCCACCACGGGTGGAAGATAGACAAGCAGCCCCCCACACCCTGACCCCAGGGGCAGGGGATAGCCGCCCTGACCCTGATAACGTTTCCCCACGTGAACGCCAGCACAGGGCAGGGGTGGGGCCTCACCCCCTCCCCCGAGACCCAGCCCAATCCAGGGCACCTCTGGGACAAACTGCCCCTCCCAGAAAAGGACCCTCCGCATCAGGGCAGGGCCCGGGGTGGAGGGTGGCAAGGCCCTGCCACCGGCCCAGGAGGAGGGTCCCGGAGCACCAGAGGCTCCCGCCTAACCTGGCAGTCACCGCCAAGCCCAGCTCCGCACCCCCCGAACCCCGCTGCCCCGGGGGGCGTCCCTGCGCACCTGGGCCTGGACCGCCAGGTAGAAGGCGCCTTTCTTAAAGGGCAGCAGGTCGCCGTTGTCGTTCCGCGTGCCCTCGGGGTAAATCCACACTTTGAGCTGCGGGGAGAAAGGAGGCAGCTGTGGGAAGGGGGGGTGGGGTAGGGCGGCCGTGCCCCCCTCCTGTGGAGCCCACGGCTCGGTGGGGACCCCCAACCGCACAGCCCTGCTCCCTGCCTTCCTGCGTGCATTGCAGACAGGCACCGACAATGTGCGTTTTATTTGTTTTTAATATATTTTTATTTATTTCAGAGAGGAAGGGAGAGGGCGAGAGATATAAACATCCATGATGAGAGCCATGGACCGGCTGCCTCCTGCACACCCCCTACTGGGGATGGAGCCCGCCACCCAGGCCTGTGCCCCGCCCAGGAATTGAACCCTGACCTCTTGGTTCACAGGTCGACACTCAACCTGAGCCGCACAGGCCGGGGCTGCCGATGCGGCTTTTACGCCAAGGCAGCTGCCCTGTGGGGCTGCTCTCACACCTGCCCTGTCCCGCCCGCAGCCCGACGCTCCCCCCCGGCAGGCCCAGGCCCCACTCACGTTCTCGCGGATCATGAGCTCGCCCACGTCGGCCATCACGCTCATGGCGGTGCTGGAGCGCTGCCGGTTGATGAAGAAGACGCCCCCCAGGTACATGATCAGGCCCACGGAGCCCGTGAACAGCAGCTCCCGCTTGGCGATCTGCACGCAGCGTGGGGGCAGGACCTCCATGAGGCCTGTCGCGTGGTCACGGGGAGGAGGAGGGGTTCAGACCGGGGGCTGCCACCCCAAGGAGCAGGGAGCGGCCCTGCGCCCAGACCACCCACCGGCTCGCCTCAAGTCTCGCCTGCCCACCAGCTGGTCGGCCACCCAGACGGGTCATTTAGCCATGAGCCAGCCTCCTGCCTGGAAGGGAGGGGTGGACGGAGAGCCCGGCTGTGGGCGAGAGGGGGCCCTGGGTCCCCCAGTTCGAGGCCTGCGTCAGCCCCTCCGGGCCCGCCTCTGCCCCACCTCCTGGGGGACCAGGCCCGCAGCCCCGTGCCTACCCATCATGTCCAGGATGCTCTGGTGATTGGACACGATGACGCAGGGCCGGTCCACCCACAGCCGCTGGCGGCCCTTCACGTCGAAGCGGAGGCCGTACAGGTACTTGAAGGACCGGACGAACCAGCTGATGATGCTGAGGGGAGAGGGAGACGGTGCTGGTGAGCGGAGGTCCGCTGGGAGGGGTACAGGAGACACCGGGGACCCCTCGCTCTCACGGGCCGGCTCCAGGCCCTGCGGCCTTTCCCTCCAGGGAACCGTGGAGGCTGCCCTGCCTCCCACCATCGCGACCAGATAGGAGGGAGCCAGGCCGCTGGGGGCAGATGCCCAGCGAAGGGGGGCCCTGCTTCCCCGTCTGCATCCCAGGGGCCGCCCAGCCCTCGGCCCGCACCCCTGCCCGCTCAGCAAGCGGGGACCCCGCTGGAAGGGGGCTGCAGGGCCTGAGCCCACACCCTCCAGTGGCCGCGACCCGTCGGGGAGGTGACAGGCCCCTCAAAGCCGTGCCGCACCAGGAAGTGAGCGCTGGCACCGAGTGGGGAGCACGTGAGCAGCTAACGCTACTTCTGAACCCACAGAGGCCCAGGAGGCGCCGTGTGGGCAGCGCCCCGGCTCCGCCCCTCGGGCCACGCCAGCCTCGGGGCAGGGCCAGGTCCTCCCCAGAGAAGACCCGGCGGGAAAGTGGCCTCCCCGCGTCACGGCCACGGCCACAGTCACGGTCACGGGGAGAGAGAGCTGTGGAGTCGATGCCACGCCCCACGGAGCCCCACAGAACAGCTGCGGGGACAGCGAGCATGGCTCCTTGTCTGACGTTGCAGATGGGGAAACCGAGGCTCAGGGAAGGCGCAGCCGTAGCCCAGCCGGGCCTTTCTCCTCAGAGCTGTCAGCCTCGGGCGGCTCAGGCGGCACCTGCCACGGGCCCTGGGGGGCCGCCGGCCTGGGCACCTCAGGGCCCTCCGTTCTCTCACGCGCCAAAGGCAGCGTCTCGGGTCTCCGTGGGGCCCAGAGGGGGCGAGGGGAGGACCAACAGGCAATTCACAGAGCAAAGGTACACGCCCGGCCCGCGTGCTCCTGGCTGAGCATCGGCCTGTGAACCAGGAGGCCACCGCTCGATGGTCGGTCAGGGCACAGGCCCGGCTGAGGGCTCCATCCCCGGGGGGTGGAGGGGAAGCGGGAGGCAGCGATCGATCAGTGATTCTCTCTCATCACTGATCTCTCTCTCTCCCTTCCTCTCTAAAATCAATAAAAACATTTTAACAAAACAAACACGTAAATGTCCAACACACGTGGAAAGAGCCCCATCTCGCCGGGAAGAAGTGCCAGTCAAAACAAGAACACCGCTCCCCTCGACGGGCACGGAGGAAAGGCGGCGGCAGGGGCGTGGGGTTGGGAAGTGGCCTCTCTGCCTGCCCCCCAGCCTCTCTGCCCAGCCGGGTGGCACTCCCAGGACCGGAGGCTCAGGGGTGATGGCATCAGGGCAGAGGGAGCTGCAGGGGGGGCTCCAGGCAGCAGCCCGACACTGCCACGGGGACTGCACTCCCACAGCTGAAAGCCCACGGCCGGAAGGAAGGCACACCGAGTGGAAGGCACAGCGCTCTCCACGCCCCCTCCACGTGGGGCCGCTCCTCCCATCCCGTGTCCCCGTTCCCACGGTTCCCTGTGGACACGGTGGGGAGGGATGTGTGGTCACTTCCACAGCAGGCTTTTCCGAGTGCCCACCCTGTGCCCCGGGCCCCGGGCAGAGAAGCCAGGGGGTGGGGACGGCCCCTCGCTGACCTCCGCTGTGGCCGACAGTCACCCCACAGGCCACGCACTCACCATACCCACCCGGCAGATGACAAGGGTGAGGCTCAGCAGTTAAGTGACCTGCCCACGGCCACACAGCCAGGAGCCAGGACGGGCCAGAGCCCACCTCTCCACCAGGGGCTGGGGCAGCGGCTCGGGGACAGCAAGGGGCCCAGCTCCCAACGACAAGACTCCACGGCTCCTCCAAGCCACCCCCCCACCCCAGCAGCAGGTGGGGTGCTCTGCCTCTCTCCTAGCGGGAACCCAGCAATGTCACCTCGACGGCCCCTGCCCAGCCTCCCCCTGCGCCAGCCTCCACCGCCCCGCAGCAGCGCTGGCCTGGGACATGGTCACACAGCCCCGGTCCCTGTCCCACATCCTCCAGCCCCCAAGTCATGACCCTGTGTCCCCAAAGGAGGCCACAGGGTGAAGCCATGGCCGCCTGAAGACCAAGCGCCCAGGAGATGGGTAGGGTGCCCAGCAGTGTTCTAGAAGCATTGCCCCAGGGGTGACTGGGGTGGGCTTCCCGACCAGGCCCTTCCCAACTGCCTGGGGGGCGGCGGCTCCTCCAGGCTCCTTCCTGGGGGTTTGCAGGAGCCGCTGCTGCACCGCAGACCCCGCCATGAACATCACAAGCTCTTCTGGGGCCGTGGGAGCCCCGAGCGGCCCTCGCAGCAGCCTCCTGGGACACGTGCGCTCGGCCAGACAGACGCTTCTCACCCCCGTGAACCTGGGCGGTACACCTGACCTCCCTCAGTGTGCAGAGGGACTGAGCTCGGTGAGGCTGGGGTCCCCGGGACAAGGGGGGTCCTGGGCGGACAATACACGGTGGCTGTGAGGACAAGGCCCCGGGCAGAAAAGAGCCCAAAGTGAAGGGAGCAGATTCCGCCCCCGCGGCCGCCCCCCACCCCTGCCCCCCACTCCGGTGGCCGGGAGGCAGTTCAAGGCCAAGCCAGGCTACCTGTGATCTTTGCCCTCGGCCTTAGCTGTTTAGGCCAAGGTGTGCCCACCCTCGGCCAGCCCCCAGAGCCAGGGCGGCGGTGGCACCCACGTGGGGGCAGCCCCGCCAGGAGGGCAGCAGAGACCCGATCTGCTCCAGGGACGGGAGGCCCCAGCAAAGCCACCTGCCAGAGTTGGGGTGTTTTCCAACAAGTGTCATGTGAGCTGGGGCACCAGGAGACAAGAACCGGGGTGTGTGGGGTGCAGAGGCCCGGGTGCTGAGAGGGGGTGTGCAGAGGGGACTCCGGGAAGCCCTCCAGCCCACGTCGAGGAGCGCCTCGGGGGCTGCTGGGAGCTCTGGGCCTCGGGCCTGGGGAGAGCTGGTCCCAGCAGAGCAAGGGTGGCCATCCTTTCGAGGGGCCGCCCCCCCTCCCCCGGGGCGAGGAGCGCCGGGGGCTGCTGGGAGCTCTGGGCCTCGGGCCTGGGGAGAGCTGGTCCCAGCAGAGCAAGGGTGGCCATCCTTTCGAGGGGCCGCCCCCCCTCCCCCGGGGCCACACAGGCTCCGGCAGCACCGGCTCAGAGGCTGGTCATTCTGAGGTCAAACCCGGAGCAGCATCGACAAGCCCCCAAGCCAGTGGGGCCCACCCCCTCCTTGATGTTTTGCGTGGACACAGCCCACACAGGCCCAGCCCGCACCGCCCCTCTCCTGCAGCTCAGCGCCGGGCCCCGGGTCGTGGCCACAGGGTGGACGCAGAAGAAGCGGTCCAGGCCGCAGGCCCCTGGGGCGGCCGCGGGCCCGGAGAACAGCGGGCAGAGGGGCTGGGAGCCGCCTGGCCTCGGGCCGCCCGCTGGGGCTACTGTGAGAGACAAGGAAGTTACCTCTGGTTAAGCCGCTCCTGGGGTTTCCTGATCCTCAGTGAACCCGACCCCACCACATGGCCTCCCTGGCCTCCACCTTCCTCCCTGTCAAATGGGCGCGATAGGACACCCGTCTCCAGGACGAGGGAAGCGGCTGCGCACAGGCACCCCCAGCCCGAGGGCCCGGGGTCTCAGCCCCAGCCCCGTCACGGCTCCCAGCACCCTCAGAGCTCCAGGCTAAACAGCAGGGGCCCCCAGGTGCCCTCGCAGAGCACACAGTGGGCTCAGGACATGGGCGCTGGGGGGCAGGGAGCACAGCGAGGGCTGGGATTGGAGAAAACGGCACCCGGGGACTCAGAAATGAGAGGGGCGGAGGCTCACCCCCCCACACCTCTACCTCCTCCTCCTGGGCCCGGACCAGCCCCTGGGGCGACCAGCACGTCCTCATTCTCCACATCCCTCTGCAAAGTCAGGCGCACAGTCCCCCGCCTGCCGTGGGGGTCATCACTGTGACCCGCCCGTGGGGTCTGGGGTACAGGCTGTGGGTTCCGGGCCCCAGGCCCCCTTCTCCCTATGGAGGACAGCACCTGCCTTCTGGCCTGGAGGGGCCCCTTGGCCGAGCCTGAGTCTGGGGGCTCCCCCGGGGAGGGAGGGGAGGAGGGCTCCCGCCAGGCACCGTCAGGGCCCCCAGGGTCCCGAGGAGGACACCCCACTGCACAGAACCTCGGGGAGGCTGGGGCCCACGTGGGGCCCGGGGCTGAGGAGCGCCCACCCAGGCGGCCACGGCCAAGGCCGGCCAGAGCCCCAACCACCGCTCAGAAACTTCAGACTTGACCCCTTGACCCGGGGAAGCAGCTCTGAAGTGCAGGCTCCTCTTGACAGAGCCAGTGGGGCCTTTTAACAGACAAGGGAGCCGCTTAGCAAGAGGCCACCTGATAACACTGCGGCCAGGGAGGGGAGAGCAGAGGGGGAGGGTCGCCTCGGGGACCTGTCACTCTCTGGACACCAGCTCTGAGCACAGCTCCCCTGCACCCCAGGGCCCCTCCTGCCTCTGAACCAGACAGGCCAGCGCCCGGGCCTGTCTCCGGGCAGCACCCTGACCCAGCACCCTCTCCTGCTCCTCCAGGCCCAGTCGAGCCCGTCCAGGGTGCAGGCAGCTGGGAGCCTCTCCCTGCAGAGCTGCACGCAGACTGGGGCAGTGCCCTGGAGCGGCGGCCCAGCTCCGGGACCTACTGTTCCTGAAAACAGCCCTCCACCCTGCCCGCCCAGAGGACACTCGCCTGGGAAGAGGGTGGCTGGACGGGTCTCCCTTGGCCTGGCTCCCTAAGACACTGCCTGGGCCATGGGGGCTGCGGCGGGGGGCATAGTCTCCCTGAGCACCCCCACTTGGAGCCCCCTATCGGTCACTGATCCCTGAAGACGGAGCCTGGGACCCACGCAGCGAGGGCTGGTCCGGGCGCACTGGCCTGCCCTGGACAAGGACAGACGCACAGGCCAGGACCCCTCACCCACTGCCCTGTGGCCACTGGGTGGTGGGGGGCGCGGCCAGTGTCCCCACACAAGGTCACAGCCAAGAGGCTATTGCAAAACCCACGCAACGTGAGCCACACACAGCAGCGCCCGCTTCGGGAATGGGGTGAGCTCTGCGCAGGGGCAGCACCGCAGCCAATGAGGTTCACCCCGGGCGCGTTTATT